AGCGTCGTGCGCAGTATTGCTGCAATAAGTGTCAGTAGAAATGAGACTGGCCTCTCAGCCTTTAATGTTTTTCATGTTTTCTTCTTCGTTATTCTTTCTTGAGTGGTTTTTTTTTTCAGTTACTCTATAGACTGCTTTGAGCATTCTTATATTTCTTTGTTCAGCGCCATTTACAATTTGTTGTTATGTTTTTGCAGTTTCTGTAGAGACTTTGGTTTACTGTATGCTACACCTGAAGATAGCAAACCTTAAGTATCAGTTGCCTCAACCTTTTACGCCTTGATGGTTTTTTTCCTGTGGCTGTTGTACTGATTTATATTGTTGTGGGTGGGAGGGAAAATGAAAGCACAGGCTTAAGGAGAGCTTGTGTAAAAATAAAGTGCTTAAAATAAGTAGTGCAGTTTAGTTCTAGACTTCTGGGTTGTGTTTCTTTTCCTGCTTTACATCATGTTTTGTCAGCCATTCTCATCACATCCGGATGATGGAGACCAATGCAAATTTGGTGTTAATGGCTGTGGAGCTGGGAGCTCAGCTCCTCTAAACCCTTCTGGCCTGAAGTCAGAGCTGCTTGTTATTAGCAGAGCATTAACTAATTTTAGCGTGAGCTAACCTGAAGAATTTTTTCTTTTTCCAAAACAATGTGTGTAAATATTCATTTTGTATCATTTGACATCTTTTTTTAAAAATATCCAGAACACAGAAAATACAGCTGTATAGTGTAAGTAGAGGGAACATGTTTAAGTTAATAGTTTCATAACATTCAAGATGTCTCAATAGCCTTATAAAAACGAGGTGGGAGCAGAACAGGGTGCTAGACAAAGGGGTAAGAGATTTAGACGGAGGGGATGTTGAGCAGGGTGGAAGAGTCCTCCTTAAAGCATTTTCAGAGAAGCCACTGAGGAAAGCCTCATGATCTACATGCTTGTCAGCCCTGTTCTTCACTTTCCAAAGCCCGTGCTCCTCTCCGTAGGGAGGTTTAAAAAAAAATTGCCAGACAGCTGCCAGAGTATCAAAAGAGGTAGGGATATGGCATGTTTTCAGATACTAAAGGTGGTGGTGGTGGTGGCGGGGATTGTTATCTTAGTTTTAACTTACTCTTATTGTAACATTTCTGTCTAATTCATAAAGCTAAACATTATTGAAAGTTAGAATAGACTGATGTCTTCCAAACTCTTTGAGTCAATAGGTCAACCCTAACCCCTCAAAAGTGTTGTGGCTCGCTGATGATCCTTGTTAAACTTGTAATTGAAAATAGGTGATGTGGTCTGGAGGTCAGCCATAAATCTGTAAGATTATGAAGTGATCCTGTCATCTTTTCAATAGCTGGACTGTTCCCTAAAAGCTAGCTGGGACACAGGAGCAAAATGCCATGGGAAATAGCATTTCTTTTCTTATTATGCTTGTGTATCTAATGAACTCTCATGCAGACAGTTATCTTTCATATGTTTTTTTGGCTGGGAAAAGTGAGGTTCACAAGCATATTAGGCAGTTACTGCATAGGTAGCATGCAGTACTTGCATACTAGTTAAAATGTCAAAGCATCAGCTGTGCTACCTAAATCTGAATTGCTAGGCTTTTGAAATGAGCAGAATGAGCTATTCTGACAAACCTATTAAAAAAAAAACAAAAAAAAACTAGAAATGTAAAACATCCGTTGAAACTTCTGAATTGAGAGATTTGTGTGAAAGGACAATGTTTTATAAGAAAGAAACTCTACTCCATAGCCACGTTGCCAAAACTATTCTGATAACTTCAATTAAGCTGTTGTAAAAGGACATATTCTGTCTTTCGTCAGTAATGATTCACTAATTTTACTTGTATTCCATGTTTGACAGGTAAAAAGGCCTTTTTACATATTCATATTGAGAAGTACCTGTTTTATGTCCTAATCTTCAGATAAGGAATCTGCAGAGATGGCCAGCTGTTTTAGATCCTCTAAACCCACAGGTATATACAGATAGATATATAGTACAGGTTAGTTACTAAGTTATTGTACATAGAGCATTTGCCCACCAGAGGATGCAGATCGTCTGAATGCTTCATTTTAGCGAAGGGCTAACTGTCTGAAAACCTGACTTAGCTAATACAGATACTGTTGCATTTGTGACGGAGAAGCTGAGTGCTTTGTAAAGCTATTTGGGTTTTGATAACTTTGTTTTTTAGAAAGCAATGCCAGAAGGTGCCGCAGGAATAGATTTCTTGTTATACAAAGGTCAAAGCAACATGTGTGAGATTTTTGCTGAAAGTAGGAGTCAAGACCGGAGCACCATCAATAAGAAATAGCGTACTAAACAGCAACATTCCAATATATAGATGAAAGGAAGGGTAAGCAGCTAAAATGGTGGAAGAGGAGTGATGATTTCAGTGATTTGATGTATTTTGCTTGCATTATTATTTTATTAGATCACTCTTTCGGTCTGATATAATAACAGGTGAGGATCAGAGAGTTCTGGTGTCAGCTGTTGCTCCGCTGTTGGATGGAAGAAGTGGCCAACAGTTACCATTGAAATCAAACAAAAACAACATCTGTGATTGCTGTTCTTTTCTCGGGCAGGTGTATCTTTACATGTATGTGAACTTACTGTGGTGTGGGGAGTGCTAATGTGTCCTTGCTGTTTGGGGTCCTTGTCAGAAAAGTACCGGCGATGAAAAGAACGTTTGCTTGTTATTGGAACAGTGACGATGCTTCTCTTGCTTTTTTTTTTTTTTTTTTTTTTGTGATATAATAGCAGCATATGAGGCCTAGGTATGCAGTTGAATGCAATACTGCTCCTCGGGTTCAGTGATATTCAAATAGCGAATTGGCTTTTTTAACTTTATGAATTTGTGGTGTGGTGGTTTGTTTGTTTTTCTGGTAAAACAACATTGATACAAGGTTGACTTTTCCAAAAACTCTTCAAAGGTGTCTGTCTTGCGGTTCTGTCTCTCTGTAGCAGTGAAATACATAGAGGGTACTAGTCACACATGTTTATAAATGCTTGGGATACAGTTTAGATTTTATACTGTTATGTCTAGATTCTTACAACTTCCAATATGTTTCAGACCCAATGGCTGTCCCACCATCGTACTGTGACTTGGGAAAATCTGCCAGGGATGTATTCAATAAGGGATATGGTAAGTAACGTGACTGTCAGTTGATAAATGTTTTTCTTGGGAGTCTTGAAAAAAAAATTACAAAAGCACTAATATCTCAGATATCCGTTAAGTAGCTTGTGGTAAGAATTGAACTGAGGGATGGTGCATCTAGTCTGTATGGAAACTGAGGTGTGGCCGTGTATCGCGAACATGCTGCAATAAGCAAAAAAAAAAAGGGGAAAGTTATGATTTCTAACTTAGATTTACTTCATGTCTCTGAAGAACGTTGTGTTTTTCTTCTTCCAATTTTTAAGTTTAGAGGCATTATGTTGGTCAAGCACGCTCACGTGGATTGCCGTAGGAAACCATGCGGCAACAAACAGTTCTCTGAAACAGAATGATCTTTATGGTAATCAAAACAACCTCTTGTCATAGTTGAAATGATTTCACAATACTTACAGGTGGAGAAAATCATTTTTCAAAGAATCTTAAACGAGAAAGGTCGTTCCTCTGAAATGCTGTTCTTGATGCTCTACCTGTGAAACTAATGTAAATACTATACTAAGAGATTTACATATGGTTTGTAGCATAAGACAAGTACTGCTTCACTGTCACAGAGATGTGTTTTGATCCCATCATCTCAGGAGAAAAATTGCATATATAGTTTCTTGCCTCCAATATGAGGACTCCTTCATAAATGATAATTCTTCCTCTTCAAAGAATTTAAGTGAAGAAATTCTGACATCGGTCCCTTTGCTGGGAGCAGTACTAAAAATGTTGACTTTTTAATCTGATTTTGTGAGTGTGTAATAAACACTGAGTTTATATCTCAAGTCCATATGCTGTGTAAAATCAAAAAGATGGAGACGTTTTGGACTGGTCTTTGCCAGCATGAGGTTAAGGCTTTGTTAAAGTTCAGCTCAGGTTCTCTGCTGAGTGTCAGGTGTTCCAGGCTTTTCTGCTCTGTAAAAGGGCCAAGTAAATCTCTGGATTCACAGCGGATTAGAAAGAAGAGGGGAAAAAAGCAATGATATCTCTGTGTACAGCACTGGTTGAAGCAAGTTGAAAATATTTTTTTCCAAGAAGGGGTAAAGAAAAACTTCTGCCTTGTAGTCAGTGGCTAGAAAGTAAATTGAGTTGCTTAGAAGAAACTGTAACCGTATCGATGGATTCCAGTCTGCAAGCAGCTACAGAAGGTGGAGATGTTTGATGATGGGACAGCTGTTTAACCTGTCCAAATATTTTAAGAGCAGGTGGATCCTTTGAAATTATTGGTAAATTCCAACGAGAAACATGGTGCAAATATTCTTTGCCTCAGAAGTGGTAACTGCTTTCCTTTCTCTGTTCCACAGATATTAACAACTTTATCACTTCTTTCCTGACTTGCATCTCTCCTTGCTTTATGAATGCTAACCATTCATTTCTTTCCAATTGCTGGTTTGTTGGACAGATCTAAAAATGGATGTTTGAGTTTTGCTTCTATTTCAGTTTTCTGTTCCTGCTTTCCGTTTAGCTGTTGAGAAGGCAACTGCATGCCTGAAAGCTTGTTTGCTTTTTTCCCCCCCTACAAATAGTTGGTTTAGTAAATGATGAACCTGTGTATATAAACACTGATTTGCTTCTGGTCCGAGACTGTCACAGCAATGTCATCACTACTGCTACAAATATTGGCGTGAGTTATTAAGAAGCATGGCAGTTCCTATCGCTGGAGGTCTTTTAAGTCATGGTTATAGAATCTTCTGAAAATATGCCTTTGCTTATCAAAAATTTGCTAGAAATTGATGAGGAAAATCCAGAGTAAAAAACCTCTGGCCTGTGTTATGCATGGACATGGACTACGTGGCTGTAATAGTCCCTTATGTGCTGAAAAGTTACCGCTCCTTGCTAACCTTTTAAAGAAAAATAAAGAAAAACCTCCGTATCCTTTTAAAGAAAAAATTGCTTCTGCTTCAATATATCCTGTTGAGAAAGGAGCGCATCCACTTTGAATTGTCTGAGGCCTTAATCATTCCTCAGCAAGATCAACGCCTATTGAAATCGTAGGCTGCTTTCTGGCCAGTGTTCCCTGCCTGCTGTGCTTTGGAGTGTAGTAATAGGCTTTGTTTGTATGTTGTGGTAAAACAGAAGTTGTGTGTTCTTCTGTTTTCAGGATTTGGAATGGTCAAGTTAGAGCTGAAGACAAAGTCTTCCACTGGAGTGGTAAGTATTGTGGGGTTCCAGCATCACCACGTTGCAAGGGGAGGACAGATTCCTGAAATGGTAGCAATAATTTGCTAGCAAGTGTTGCTTTAGTCTTTCAGTTCTCACTTTAAAACCTGTGGCTAACTGATGTATTTCTACAATGATGCGTAGAACTGATATATCAGTACTTTTTTTTTCCTGTGGCGTGCAAGAATTCCACAACTCCAGACATTAGATTTCCTTCACCCTAAGTGGCTCTCACTTTGTTTATGAATGCAGATGAGTTCCTCTGCTGTTGTTGGCAGGATTTATAGGATTTTGACTTCAGACTGACTTTTTATCCAAAAGGCCAAGAAGACTCGACCTAACTTCATTTTGAGTCGTCTCCTCCATGCTTACCATGCAAGACTTAATTAAATATAAACAGTACTCCTACAGTACCTTTTACGTAGCATTTTAGAGCATTTTTATAAGCGTTAATTAAGCTTTACAGCACTTCAGATAACTAGAAAACAGTGTAATCCCTGTAATACTGATGGAGAAATAGAACTTAACTTCTTTGTGATTTCACAGGAAGACTTGCAAAGCCAGGAATGGATTTGGTGTTTTTTGGTTTCTAATGGCAGGCATATATTCTACACTAGACAGCCTTATTCTGGCACTGAGTCTCACTTCTGTGCATGCTAAGCATTCAGTGCTGTGCAGGTTGATTGGCCTGTGCGGCTTTTCAGCCTCTCTCATAATTATATTTGCTTGAGCTCCCTCCTTCTCTTGCCTTCGTATTACATAAATGGCTTAAGTCATTCCTTTAGTAAAAAGCTGCATTATTTTATGCTGTCTCAATTGAGTGTTTGATGGATTACTTGCATTGTGTAGCGGGCACACGTGGGCATGAGGAACTGTGTGGCGTCTCTATTGTGACTGAAATCAGTTACTGACATTTCAGAATATGCATAATTTTCCTGGCAGGAAGCTTTGATTCTCAAGTAATATGGTAATAGTCATCTACATTGTCTTCTGAATGTGACAGGCCACGCAGAACTATTCTTAAGTGCTAAAGCGTGCTTTTCCTTTTCCATGCAACTTTCACGTTGGATGTTTATCCAGCTGGTAAGAAAAGTGACTGTTTTGGTGTGGGGATTTTTTGTTGCTTTCTCTAGTAGGTTTTTCAATGGTCCATACTGTTTGTTATTTTTAGTCATGTTGTCATCCATGCCATGAAGTTTGACTGTGTCCGTAGCTCTTAATCAGCTGTATGATCCATGCATGTAGAGCCATTTGTAATCTCTGTCCAACGGTCCAAAAGAAGAACATGAGAAAATAGCAGGAGAGAAATCAAGGAAGTTTTCTACTGCTTCCAGCTTTGTGCCAAAGTGTGTCTAGTTAGCGTTTTGCTGCAACAAAATACATTTTGGGGATGGAGAAGAGTTTGGAAGCAGTGTGTGCGATCTAATTCATACTTGGGTACTAGCAGGACCTCTGCTTGTTTTGATAGAGAAATGCGTGGGTTTTTTTTTCCCCCTTGTGTACTTAAACTCAACCACTGTAGTTCTAAAAGGTTTTGAAGCAGTATACCAACTTTTTTACCGGTTGCATTTCTTTCTCAGACTGTAACGGGTTTGGCGTAGTAGGTGCATGGTGTTCTTGAAGATTTCCAGCCACCATGAGTGAATGGCCAATGAGAAGCTGGGCTTGAGTATTGATTCAGACTGGAGTGTGACATGGAGCCACACTGAGTTTGGGTAGTAGTTTCAGAACATTTCAGAAATGCTTCTACTGGAGATGGTGTTCAGTCAGAAGTCTCTGCTTTTGACAGTTAAAGACTGATGGCAGCAAATCTTGCCTGTGTGCCTTCCACTTCCAGAAGGAGAGCCAGTTCTGCCAGCTAGGAAAATCCTTTGGCTTTTGACCACAACACAGCAGAGTTCTTTTCTGTTTGTTTCCTTTTGTCTATTAAAAAAAAAAAAAAGCATTTAAGCATTTTAAAACATTTTCTGTATCTGATCTGAGAAATAAATCAAGCCTTTTTGATAACTTACTTGCCCTAAGGTCAGGACAAAAAGTACTTCTAAGGTTTGATGCAGGTTTGATGCCTTTGCATTAAGTTTGTGGAACTGACATTAGAGGCGTGTGTAGTGAATATGTTTAAAAGACAGTCACACACTTCCGGACTTACATCATGTACTTTTGTTGTCTGGATTGACATGAAATAAAGTTGGTGTCCTTTGTTGTGGTAGTGCATTAGCTAGAGTAAATTTCGTGTTCTTTCCTGGTGTGCTAGGAATGTTATGGCAATATTTCTCTGGCACTCCAAAACCATTTAAAGACAGTCTTTATGCACTCTGCAAAGCCCAAAACTGTGAAAGTAATGTATTCACCATCCAGGAATACTGTCCTGGAACAAGCCAAATCTTAAAAGTTAGGGTTTCAAAGCTTGGACATGTTGGCAGTGGGTACTGTCATCTGTGAAGCACTGTATCTTACAATATTTGAACTTCAAAAGAGAGATGACTGGGAAATGTAATGGCAAAGGTTAATTACCTTCTTTCAAGGAAAATATCTGAGAGATGAGGGCAACTGAAATGAGATCAGTTCTCAGATGCTTCTTAAACCTTACCCGGTATACCTTGAGCTTACTGCCACAATATGCAAACCCATTGCCTTGTGGTCTGTTGCGCACGTAGCACTGAGTGGACTACCTCTGAGCGATTCCAAGAGGACAGATGTTCACGAAGACTTTGTGTCCCTTGAGTAACAGGAAGCTCCGATGTGTGGGGAATTCATCAAAGATTGTAGGAGAGTGTGTTGCACGAGAGTATATCTTACACGGAATGCAAAATTGTTGGTTCAGTTATGCTAGTCAGTGAAGGAACAGCCTGATGGAGAGATGTCAAGCTTCCAAGAGGGTCAAGTTACATTCTGAAACTATGAAGGATACCAGAGAGAAAAATTAATTTTTTTTCAGCTATTCATCTGGTAGCCGAAGTTGGATGCGGGATTGCATTTGTTGAGGGTAGAGTGGATTTCTAGAAGCAGTGTAAGAGGTTCTATTTGATATGCCATTGGGACAGTACTGCTAATATGATGCAGGAAATTAGAGAAATTTGTGAGAAAACGTAAGGATACAAGAAGCTTTGTATCCCAAGTGAGTACCTGTCTGTGTGTGCAGGGATCCGTGGGAAGGTACAGAGTGACTTGCTGAACGTTGTAATAACAATTGCAACTTCAGAGTAGAAAAATACAGCAAATTACTTTTTTGGCGGGGATAAGTTAGGAAAAAAGTGTGACAATAGGGGGAGCTGGGTGATAAAATAGAGATGCAGATGAAAAATAAGTGAAGACAACAGGTCTTTGTATAATAGCGCTTTTTGAACCCGAGCAAGTTTCAGGTCTCTTATCAGCTCATCTCAATAAAGGAAAAATCTGCAACAGAGAAGATATAGAGAACGCATGAAATATCTGAGTGCTGATTCTCATACCGTGCTCTTGGCAGGAATTTACTGCAACTGGTTCTTCCAACACCGACACAGGCAAAGCTTCAGGGAGTCTAGAGACCAAATATAAGATCAAAGACTGTGGACTGACGTTCACCCAGAAGTGGAACACAGACAACACACTGGGAACAGAAGTGTCCGTGGAGGATCAGGTAAGAGGATGTGACTATTATGAAAATGTTTCAGCAGCTGGAATGAAAAATTGTTGAGTTGAGCAGAAAACAATGGAGAGCAAAAGTTACGCTATCTTCTTTCTTTTCAGTTCTCCACATAGTTTTGTGCATCTGCAGAAAGCACAGACTGAGACAGCATCGTTAATCTTTTCTGTTTTTTTGGTGCAAGCATCCATCCCCCACCCCCACCCCACTTCAAAGTGCTGCTACATAATGATCCAAAGGCACAAAGTTACGGCAGATGTAGGCACATCAAATTAATGTGGTTGAAGGGAGTATCAGTGTTATCCATGCTGAAGGGGGCTTTTTGGTTTTCGTGCATGACCGCAGCAGTGACAGCTCTATGGCTAGAGTTGATCTTTAAACATAAACAAAGAAGGGTTTCTCAGTTTTAAGCACTCTTAATATATAAGGACTTAACTCTGGGTGCCTTTAAAGTTGAAGAGTACGATTAGTGTTTGCAACTTGGCATTGCATTGAGGAAAAACTTCCTGACTGTGAGGGTGACAGAGCACTGGAACAGGTTGCCCAGAGAGGTAGTGGAATCTCCTTCGCTGGAGATATTCCAAACCTGCTGGATGTGACCCTGGGAAATATGCTCTAGAGGATATGCTCTGGAGGTCCCTTCCAACCTAAACCATTCTGTGATTCTGTGCTTGAGCAAACAGTTTCTAGTATACAGCCATCTCAAAATATACAACTCCTTTTCAAAGGTGATGGCTTTATGCTTTTTCACTCAATGCTCTGTGGTGCCTGTGCTGCTGTGTGTTCGTCACTGTTTGCATAGCTATAGTTTTGCACTTTAGTCTGTGCTTTAAAGTGGAAATGGCTATCTCGAAATGAAGGTGGAACAGCTGAGCTAGGTACACTGTCTGCCCTATGAAGTAGTGCCTAGTGTCTTAAAGGGATACCCACAGATTCTGAGAGATTCTTGGGTTACAGTGTGGATTGATGGAACTAGAGAGAATAAATAAACACAAACTGAATACCTTTCTCTCTTGAATACAGTTTCTCCATTTTTTTTTTCTTGTTGATGCTAGATTTGAAATCTGCCTGTATAAAAAAAACCCCGCATCTATGAAGTACCTGTTATCTTGCCTCATTTTGAAGGGTAAAGAAAGTCTATAAATTCTAATCACTTACCTTACAGCATCTTCAGATTTCTTTCTAAAATTATGTAGGCAACATTATGTTCATGTTTTGTTTTCTCTTTAGATGTGAAGTAGAGCTATAATAATGGAGGAAAAATTTAAAACAAAAAACATTTCAGTACAGTTCTGAGCAGATGACAACTTTGCTTTTCTTTGCAGTTGGCCGAAGGATTGAAGGTGGCCCTTGACACTGTATTTGTACCAAACACAGGGTAAATATTTTCTGTCACCTTTACCTACAGACTTCAAGAACTGCCCTGTTCTTCTCATTAGAGGTGCTTATTCTGGTCATGGTGTAAATGCTCAAAACTTACTGTTGCTGAATGCCATTTTCAAATATTGCAGGAGGCAGGAATTCTAGATCACAAAAAAAAAAAATCAAGAACTTTGTTCTGCAGGCACTGTAGAATATTTTGAAGGTGATGGATAATACTGGGCTCAGAAGAACAAGGTCTACAAATAATGACTCTTTGTCTTCTTGGCCATTTGCAAATTTGTCATTTCTGAGTAGGTGTTATACTTCTGTAACTCTTCCCTTAAATGCTTAGGTCTTGCTTGGAAAACTTAACTTGTGCTGTCTTTCTCGTGGTGGTGGTGGTCCTACTGCTGGCCACTCAGTGCCTTAGGAACACAAAGCAAAATTATTCTGCTTTCTGAAGGTTACGGGCAGAGTATTAAACAAAAGAAAAAAAGATGTCTATGCACAAGTGAACAAGGATGTAGACCAGCATAGGCGTTATGACAGGCAGTGGAATAATATAGGTTTTAAATACGGTCTCTTTTCTAGGCAATAAAGGAGGGGTTTTTATCTGTGGATATGCATGAATCTTGAGACGGCTTTGTCAATATTTACTAGCATTTCTTTAGTTTCAGGAAGAGCATATCAGAAAAAACAGTTTGATATACTGCTTGGATGTAAGGATTTAGAAAATGAGTTAAAGATGAGACACAAGGCCTGGAGTATGAGTGACAGGCAGCATCATGCTCTGTTTGTTGCTTGCAGTGGGAGAGAAAAGAGGCTGGGAGGAGGCTTAGAGAGGTGCTCAAATTTTGTCTCAGTTATGTTAAGCTTGAATTGGTAGCAAGATGAGCACAAAGACATGTTGGAGAGAGAGAGAAAGAAAGAGACTTACTTCTCCAAAGAGAGAGAGAGGCTGAGAAAAGAAGTGGATGATGGCTGGAGGATGAGGAACTTTGCTTTCAGAAGAGAGAGGAGGTAGGTATCCAGCAACACACACACACAGGAAATTCTCCCGGGATGCAGAAGAGCGGCTAGAACTGAAAAGGCTAAAGTATGTCATAAAAAACATTTAAGAGCAGACAAAGTGAATGAGAAATGACAACAGGCATGGCCTGTGAAGGAGCGGTGGAGAGAACGGAGCAGAAAAAAGTCCCTGAAGAGCAGGCCAGCTGTCTGTGTGAGATGTCATGGATGCTGCTGAAGGAGACTGGTGATGCCATAACATATTGCAAATACTTGTGTATAATAAAACTTGATGGCTTTTGAGCGTAGCCAGAAATATTTGTCTTTTTACTTCTTGAGGATTTTAGAGAGTTTGAGATGTTAGAGCAAAAGATGGCTCAACAAAAATATACATAATCCTGCTATCACCCTTATCCCATGCTCTCTCCAGTTGTTGTAACATTGTTTTGAGTGGGTGTTAACAATTATTTAATTTGCCTTTAGGGATACATATATATGTGTGTGTGTGTGTAATGGAACATTTCTCTCTGCAGGAAGAAGAGTGGAAAGTTGAAGACTTCCTACAAAAGAGAATATGTAAATCTAGGCTGCAACATAGACATTGATCTCTCTGGACCAACCATCTATGGCTGGGCAGTGCTAGGCTATGAAGGCTGGCTTGCTGGCTACCAGATGGCTTTTGATACAGCCAAGTCTAAGCTGTCACAAAATAACTTTGCCTTGGGATATAAGGCAGGAGACTTTCAGTTGCACACTAATGTGTAAGTATTAGCTGGGCCTTGGAAGAATGTTATCAGAGGAGCCAAACTAGATGAGTGGTGAGAATTTACTGTACCAGGTGAAAAGGTGCATGGAAAGGAGGAGGATGTTGATTTGATTGGTTTGAAGTAATTCACATTTTGTGCTTTGATTTTCAGTACAATTCAAGTGGGGATGGGGTGGGGGGGGTGGGGGGACTTTCCAGCTTCTGTTCATTTTCTGAGACCTTGTTCAGGGTAATTTTGGTTTTGTTTTTACAGGATAGTGGGGGTGGGGGAGAGAAAGCACTTTAGAATGTTTATTTAGAAAACTGGAATTAAAATCTGTTAAATTCACTTCTACTTTGGTGGTAGAAATAAAGGAGCCTTTGATTATGCTAATGCACCCTTTCACCCACAAGCAGAAAGTTTCTAGCTCAGAAATGCCCAAGGTGGAGGAGAGAGGTGTGTTGCATCATGCCCAAGTGTTTCCAGATGCCGTTTTAGCGTAGCTCTAGTCTTGGTGGTCACATGCACTGAGAATCTTTCAATTTTGTATATTTAAACTGCTCTCCCACAATAACAGTGTTTTCAGTCTCATTCCCATTTTCAGTGATTGTAAAAAAAAAAAAAAGGATAGCTGACTTAAGTCTCCCTCTGGCTTTGTTCCTTTATGCATCATTACAAGTAAAGTTAAGTTCTCTGCAGAATCACAAACCTTGTGGCTCAGCTGCTGGAAGGCCTCTTGCCATGCTGCAGCCTAAACTCGTGTTTTGGGTCAAAAGCATCGGCAGGAGTCCGAGAACTCCAGCTAGGAAGTAGATAGATAGGCATGGATCCATGAAAGCATTCAGACTGTTGGTTCATTGCAGAAGAGATAATGATCAAATGAGCACGGGAAAGGGAGGGTTACTCTTAAGGTTACTATTTCTAAACAAGGGAAGTCTTGACACACTTTTATCTATTACGAACAGGAACGATGGCACCGAGTTTGGTGGGTCTATTTATCAGAAGGTTAATAATAAGGTTGAGACATCAGTAAATCTTGCATGGACTGCTGGTAGTAACAATACACGGTTTGGTATTGCTGCCAAGTACCAACTGGATGAGAAGACGTCCATTGTGGTAAGAATTTTGTTACGTGAGCAAGCATTTCAAATAAGTTTCCTTAACTGCTGAAAATTAGTTGTATGAAGTAATTCCTTCAAATATTGTTACTGAGATACTGACAGATAGCTAACTGTGGCTTCTCTCGTGGTTCAAATTTCAACTAGGACATCATACGTCATATTATTTGTGAAACACGGTACAAAAAACCCACAGGCACTCT